GAAAGGGCCTACAAGGAAGTTGGAGAGGAAGTCTTTGTCAGGAACTGCTGTGACAAGACAAGGAGTAATGGGTACAAGCTGAAAGAGGGGAAATTCAGGTTAGGTATCAGGAACAAATATTTTACTGTGAGGGTGAGGAGGCCCTGGCACAAGGTGCTCAGAGAAGCTGTGGCTGTCCCATCTATAGAAGTGTCCAAGGCCAGGTTGGACAGGGCTTGGAGCAGCCTGGGATACAGCAAGGTGTCCCTGCCCATGGTAGGGGGTGGCACTGGATGATCTTCAAGGTCCATTCCATTCCAACACCATGATTCTATGATAATGGCACCATTACCACCAGCAATTTTTCCTTTTAAAAGATTATTAGAAACTTTTTTATTAAAAAAACACTGAACACAGTAGTTTGGGCCAAGAAAAGTCCAGACTGGAGAGATTAGAGAACATTGGCATTACCATTATCATTCTCCAGGAATATGTACGATGATCAACTCCAAAGCGAAAAATTTGTTTCAATTTCCACAAATTTCAGTTGAAACAGGCTAATACCTGACACAATACCTCAGTGTGGGAAATAACTTTGAAAAAGCATTGTAACGCTGCTGAAAATGTACAGGTTTGAGCTTAGACACCAGTTGGGGAAGCGCAGGCAGCATCGATTGCGGAATCAGAGTGAGAGGGAAAATGTGTGCTAATTTCTTAACAAACATGAGTGAAGATATGGGTGTTAACGTCTTTGAAATGGGTCCTCATGTCTCTATTAACAAGCAGCAGGTTTGCTGCAGAGCGCAACTTGACTCCTGACACTGACAAGGGTCGGCACAAGCCTGAACTTCAAAACTTCGGGGAAAATGCCATGTTTACATTTGGAAAATGCCATGTTTACATTTGGAAAATGCCATGTTTACGTTTGGAAAATGCCATGTTCACATTTGGAAAATGCCATGTTTACGGTGGGGGAAACACGTGGCAGGCGATTCGGGATGGCTGTACCTTCCTAACACCTCAGCACTGGGAAAGGAAGAGGGCAACAAGCGGCCGGGATTTTGGGATAAAAGCGAGGTCCTCGACAGAGAAAACCCCGCGGGTGTGTGGCCTCGCTCTTTATTTGAATAAAGTTGCAGGGCTCTTCTGTCTTTTTTGGGGACACTGGTTTTTCATAGCGCGATTTTCTGTATGAGTGTCTTCACAGCCGGGGCCGTGACCGCGGCCGGGTGCCCTCACGGGCCGGGGTCGGGTGCCCTCACGGGCTGGGGTCGGGGCCGTGGCCGGGGCCGGGGTCGGGTGCCCTCACGGGCCGGGGCCGGGGTGCCCTCACGGGCTGGGGTCGGGTGCCCTCACGGGCTGGGGCCGGGGTGCCCTCACGGGCTGGGGTCGGGGCCGTGGCCGGGGCCGGGGTGCCCTCACGGGCCGGGGTCGAGTGCCCACACGGGCCGGGGTCGGGCCGCCCTCACGGGCCGGGGTCGGGAACCGTGCCGGGGCCGGGGCCGGGGCTCGGCAGCCGCCGCCGGCAGAGCCTCTTCCGGCCGCTCCAGCCTCCGTCTCTGTGGTTGTTCCTCCCGCTCCTCCCTGCGGGGCGGCGGCGATGGCGGAGCCGGGGAGAGCCGGCGGGAGCCCCGAGCCCCCCGTGCAGGTGGTACGTGACAGGCGGGGCCGGGCCGGGGTGCCCGGGGCTGGGAGTGCTCGGGGCGGACACGGCGGCTCGGGCGGGGCCGGGGCTGGCCCGGGAGGGCTCCCCCGGAGGGTTCGGTGCCGGCGCGTTCGGGTACACCACGGGGTTGGCAACGAAAGTCGTAATATCTTCCTACAACACTTCCTGTTTTTGTTACTTCCCGTACAAGTGTGTGTATATATATATATGTATATGTACATATACATGTACATATGTATATGTATATACATATGCATATACACATGCATATATGTGTGTATATAGTGTGTATATATATCGTGTATATATATTATATATATAATTTTTTTTATATGCGCACTTATCTATAAATAAAACACATAAATAAAGTTAAATATACAACACCTATCTCTATTTGTGCCTATATAGCCATATAAATATAAATATAAAACTACAAAAAATATATAATACTTGTGTAGAATGTGTGGAGTTCAGGGAAATCCAGGTAGTGTCACAATGCTCAAGTCCAGGTTTGATTCACAGCTCTGTTTCAAGAGTCATATTTGGCTCATAGGCCGTGAAAATCCTCTCTGTTGGATGCTGCTGTAAATCAGCCTCAGCTGATGAAATGGTAATTGTGACTCAGATCGCTCAGATTGTCACTCAGATGATTTGTAATGCCAAAAGCACATTAGTTGTTTGCAATTTATCTCCCAAATACTCAAAATGAGGGAGTTTTGCACCTCTGTAGTTCACTGTTTTGGTAGCAGTCTTCAAATACAGGAAGGACTGCTGCAAGGAGAACTAGAATAATCATCTGTGCTGGGATTGGGAAGTAGGAGTTGGCATAAACTGTAGTAAAAAAACCAAAACACTGGAAAAACCATTCTAGGGTTTTTTTTAATGCCTGCTTTTAGTGAGTGCCTTAGCAAGGTTGGTGTTTGACTCTGGAGAGAGGGTTTGTCAGCAATGCCAGAACTGTGGTTGATCTTGTTTTGGGACAGGAGAAGCAGACACAGTCTCTGGAGCTTGCTACCAGCTGGGATTTTTGCTATGAGACTGTACCTGTAAGGGAAATAGTGCCCTGGTTCATGTTGTTCCCCTCTTTTAATGGTCCAAGGAGATCAAATTCTTCTGATACAGTCACACAACATTAAAAGCCAATTTATGACTGCCCAGTTGCAACTCTTAATCCAGGGTACAAATCTGGTAATGAATGAGGGAGAAATGCAGGTCTAGATTGTTGATTTATCCTCAAATTAAAACTAAACACAGAATACCAGTGAGCTGAGCAAAAATGGTGAAACTCTAGTATACATCAGCAATACTCTGAGGTGTTAATCCTATTGCTGAGTACAGTTATTTGTGAGGATTTGTTAATTTTTCAGGTTTTACACAGAAGTATCATCAGCATTCAGCTCTGGGCCTTAGTTTGGCAGGTGTCCAGTTCTGCATGGTTCTGTGGAAGCAGAATTTGCTCACAGTAATATGTTTAGGAGCATGTAAATATATTATGAGCAGTTCAGTTGAGAGCACCTCGGTGCCATCAGGTATTTATGGGTTGTTTTCTCTGTGCTGCCCTCAAAGTACTTTTTTCTGCTTTCAGTTCAAACCAAACAGGGAGGTCAAACATCATCTTGCTATTTTGCACTGCTGCCCTGACTTAAAACAGGAGTGCACCACGGAAAAAAAGCAAAGAAGTTCCAGTTTTCAAACCAATGGCAAGCCAGTTGGTGATGGCTTAGTCAAATTTTTACTAAGTGAATCAGAAAACAAATTGAAAAATAACGGATTTTTCTGGATGTGCAAAACTGCACAAGTTTACATTGTCACTGGAAGAATTGTGGAACCCTTTTTTGTGCATGAATGTGTTAGATTGATTGGTGTGAATGTGTAGGGTCATGTTTAGTTGCCATGTCCACATAAAGAATATTAAAATCTTGAGTAAATTGAATATAGTACTTCAGAATCTCAGATTTTTTTTCTTTTATTATAGTCTCAAAGCACTCATCTGAGACAGTTCTGAAATAATCTTTTTTGTCTATATGTTGTAATTATTGGGTAATCAGTTTCACTTTTTTTTTTTGTTTCTCCCTATTTTATTTATCTCTCTAAAATACAAACCAAAGGCCTACTTTGCCTAAAAGTTTAAAGAGCTTTTATCCTACTTCTTTTGAGAACTGTTCCATCATGCTTCCAAAACTCAGGAGGTTCATTCATTTAGATGTTTGCTATTTTATTTGGCTGTGAAATGTTGTTAATCATTGTACCCCACACAGGATTGGGTTGTACCTGTGTGCACATCCTTCAGTGTCCAAAACTCTGCCTTCTGATGGGTGCACCTGTGTTTGCACCTTGGCACTAAATTGTGAATAATTCCATTTCAGTATCAAACAAAATGTTTTGTTTCTTAGGATTCTCTCCTGCTCACAATAGGAACAAATCCTCTCTTCCAATTTGTGGTTACCCCACATCATGAGGAGTTTAAGTTGTGTTTCTAGGGACTTCTTGAAATGTCCCATGAGACTTTTTAGGAGTTCCTCAGGCCCTTAAGTTCCCCATCTAAAAGTAATTTTAGCAGGTTCAGACTTGGCTCTGCCTTTTCAAACCCAGCCAGTGTTTCACCAGGCTGATTTCTCAGCCTTTGCATGCTGTGAGGGAAGTGTGTTCTCTTTTGAGACACTGAAAGAATTCTGGGGGTTGTTGGCTTTTTAGGGATAACTAGATCAGTGATGAGAAACTCAACTTGAACAGGTAAAGCTCTCCTCTCTGGTTTCTAACCAATTTTCCAATCTTTCAGGTGTGCTTTCCTGCTGTGTGTGCACCTGTGAGCCAAGGGGCTGTAAGAGGAAGGCTGGGATGGCAGAGTGTGGAGCTGGAGTCAATGTTAAAATCTTGGCTGCACCCTGAGGGCCCAGCTACATGCATGAGCATCTCCAATTAGGCTTGAGGGGAAATGGATGAGTGAGATGTATTAATGGAGGACAAAAGTGTCTTGAGAAATGCAGGAATACCAGAAGCAGGTTAGGGTGGTGTTACAGATGTTTCATCTCTGGGTTTGCTTCAGTGGTCTCTCTCTTGTTTCCTTGGACTTCCACCAAAAACCATCTTGTGGAACTTAATTTCAAAAGAAGGTTGATAGAGAAGATTGCAAATCATATTTGTAAGAAAATAAAGGTTCTTCACCTACTTTTATATTTTTAAGATGCATTTTTTGGTGAAAGTTAGTTTCAGAAGGATCTGCTACTTCTCCTTTTTACTAAATATACTGTAAATAAACAAAAATATGCTTCCTGACATGCATGTGGATCTCTGTTTGTTCTTTTGTAGTCTATCATTTTGCCTGTTCACAACAGTGAGTGCTGGTTAGATGAATGCCTGAAGTCAGTTTGGGAACAAGATTTTAAAGGAACCATGGAGCTGTCAGTTTTTAATGATGCCAGCAAGGTGTGTTTCAGACCTTTAAAATACTGTCTCTAACAAGAATTTTTGGTTCACTTCAACACACAAATTAAAATAGCTGCATCTGTGTAATTTTTTCTAGGATGGTTCAGCTGAAATAATTGAAAAATGGAAGATCAAGTTGGAAGAAATTGGTGTTTCAGTAGTCATTGGAACCAACAATTCCTCTCAGCCTCGAGGTGGTATGTAGATTAATTTTGTGAGAGTTTGGTTCTTATTGCAGGCACCTTCTGATTTTGAGTTTGAAAATGTCTTTGTAGCCATTTCCACTGCAGTGGAAAAAACCCACATTGTTTTCTAGAGCTCTGTTTGAAAACTCATTCCAATTTGAATTTGGCCCTGTAGAATTTGTTTATATGTTCAAGGAAAGAACTTGGCTAAGCACTTGTGTGCTCTACTCTGCAAAAGCAAAAGAATTTTGTTTAATTGTAGTATACACAATGTTGTTAATGCTTACAATTTTACTGTGGCTTTCTGATATCTGATTTATCTTCAGGAGATGGGTTTTAAGAAAAAAAATATTCAAAATTCCTTGCATAAGGATTTTAAAAGTAAATGCATATCTTTCGGTCCAGTAAAATAGACCCTGAAATAGAAAATAAATACCTTTTTGATATTGCTTCAATGATCAAATCAAAACAGAGGTTTCAGAAGTTTTGATGTGAGCTAAAAACTCTCACTAAAGTCCCAAGTATTCACTCAAAGAGCTAAACCAATATATTTAGTGAGCTGTCAGACAGGTGTATGATGTGATCCCCTATTCATTTGCATGCTAATATGAATTATCTCCCACTGCAGAAGATTACAAATAAATCTCTCTCTAAACTCTCTTTTGCTTGCTTTGGTTGGTTTATGTTTGGGGGGTTTTAGCACAAAATCTTCCTACAATGTGAAACAGAAATAAAAGTCAGTTGGTTTTTGGAGAAGCTGTTGTTGAGTGCCAGTGAAGTTGGAAGATCACAAAGGAAGAGCAGTGTGCTCACATTTTGTACTGGAGCTGTGTAACCAATGGTTCATTCTCCCATTCTGGACTTTGTTTTAATGAGTAGACAGGTAGGAATTGTTGGTTCCAAGTTTGTGTTTTTGAAGTTGTCTCTCTCACACTTTGGAAACACTGTGACACAGAATTTGGACAGTTGCTGTTTTTTCACTGCACGTCCTGTTTGAAGTGTAAAAATCTCAGGCTCTTTAGAGTCTCCTCAAGATGATCTTCTTATGCAAAAGCCCACTTCTGTTCCAGAAAGTTTGCTTTTCATCCCCTGTTGAAACATGCAAATAAATTGGGAGTTTGTGCACTGAATTCATCTGCAACCTGGTAGAGGCCCCTGGCTTTATTTACTGTCATTTCTCCTGACTGTAGCTTTACATCTGTTTTTAAATAGTTGTCAGACATAGCAATACTGAAGTAACACAGCATAACCCTCACTATAAATATTTTTAGTATTTTAATACCTTTAGCATGAACTGGTGGTGTTTTGACAGTGCAGCTTGTAATATTAGAACTATTGGGCTGGTAATGACAAAAGGCAGACAAGGTTTTTAGAGGGAATTTTTCTCTTTTGGGCAACTGACACAGCTGGATTTGAGCAATGTCAAGAATTACTCATAATCCTGTAACTTTTTCTTCTTTTTTCTCCTCCCTCTGCTATTGGATGATCAGTCTCTTTTCAAAACTGACTTCTTTTCCTGATCAAGAAACTGATCAAGAGACTAGGAAGGTTACAATTTCTTAAATCAGAGAATAATCCCAGAGGTTGTTAATTCCATTTCTTAGGATAGCCAGTAATGTTTCTGCTGATACCATCGTGTTGTGTAACATATTTGCCATTTTTATAAACACTTGCTGTGTCTAAAGTCTTGTTCCTACTAGAGTGTTGTATCAATTGTGTATAAACTAGGTTTTAGTATGCCAGAACACACAAGCAGGATGGGGTTTTTTAAAATTTTAGAATTCTGATGTCTGTTCACCTTTTCACTTCAGGAAACTGAACCTAAAATTGAGTTCCAGTTGTGAATTCCATTGTGCCATTAGGGATATGTCAGATTATTTAGATTATTTTTTGGTTTAGCACGCATTTATCAGTGTTGGGGTAGCTGGAGACTGAACAGATCTCTAATAAATTGGGGGTAGGAGGGGCTGTGCACTATTGAAATATGTAATTTAAATAATAGTGTGAAATGCATAGTGCTGCTCAAAAACAAACCCAGGCTTATCCATGTGGGAGACACTCTCAGGTCACCATTAAAACAAGAACATCTTTACTTCATGGCTGTTAAATTTTAGAAGCAGGTTACTTGAAATCCATAGCATTTGTTTGCTTTTGGTGATTTACTTTCATTTTGTTAAGGACTAGGTACAACTGGAAGGAGTCTTGCCTTTAAAAGAAGATGCTTTGGTCCAGAAACAATGTACTAGGCAGGCTTCACATCTTCAACTATTTACACAAGATTAGGATTTATTTCTGATTCTTTTCGAACATGTAAAAGAAAGGGGGGGGAACCTTGGAAAAAAGAAAGGGTCACTTGCCTAAAAAAAGGAAACCTTTTTCTTTCCAAGAGTAAGGAATGTTAATATCTCACTGAGGCTTAAGTTTTTACAGCTGTAGCCATGGTAACAGGCTCTTTTCACCAAGTAAGCAGGCCTTACAAAACTCAGAGACCTGGCACAAACATTTCATTTTGTTCACTAGAGTAATATTAAAGAATTTTTTTTTACTCATGCCAAACACAGAATTTGTTGTGGTGAAAGAATTTTTAATACCTAGTTTCTTCTAGGGGGAGTTATATTTATCTTCTTAATAATTTAAAAAATATGTGTATTTTCTTCTCTCTCTTTTCTCTGAAAGATATCTGGTATATGAAAAACTTCAGGATGTTTCTGTCTTAAACACAGCAAGAAATATTTTCCAACTCATAACAAATACTAGATATTTCTTTTTTTTATTTAAAGTGGCTTATTTCAAAATGAGATCTGAAATACTTCAGGAAGTTCATAGAGTAATATAATTGCCATCTTCTAGTTGCCTTGAAGCCTCCTTCACTATTTTCTTGTAATTTCATTATTATCCATTGAAAGTTGCTGAAATACACTGAAATGTAAGTCCAGGCTGCTTTACAGCTGCTGTGCCTTCTGATAGTACTGTAAAATTGGGCAAACTTAATTCTGTCATCATTTTTGTGCTGTTCCTTTATCTCCTGCTTTACTAGGGGTAAGTGAGGGCTGGGGGTTGCTGCTTTGGCATGCCCAGGCCTGCTGACTTGCATCAGTTGTTTCCCACTCCAACTGTGGTGCCAGGACCCAGCTCTGCTGCTGTGGCAGCTCCTGTCTCTGCCAGCTGCTTTTTTACTGCCAGTGGGAAGGAGACTGAGAGTTACTGTGCAGATGAGATTCCATATTCATAGCTCTGTACAAGGTAGAATGTAAACATCCTGTAAAGTAATAAAGCCAAAAAACACACAATGAAGAGAAGTTGAGGTGAGGATTAAAGTACATGAGAAAAAATAACACAGTTATAAGGAAGGGCCTTTATTAGTCCTCTTCTGGTGCTAATGTTCCTTGAGGCAGTAAGAAATGCAGTCATAAGTCTTTTTCTGTACTTGGACAGCTCAGCAAAATAGCCAAGGAGCACGTGCATTACAACTAAGGGAACCTTTGAGCCCAGTTAAATCTGTTTCCTGAGCTAACTTAAATTTGTAACACATAAAAGGATAAGAGAATTAGAGAACTCTGCTTTTTTTTTTCAAATGCAAAGTCAGAAACTTTGTGGATAATATTATTTAAAATTATTCTGCTCCAATATTATTCTGCTCTAATTTTAATATTAATTAAAATTATTCTTCATGGTGAGAGTTTTTGGCTTTACATTTCTAGTTTTCCCCCATAGAGTAAAAAACCCTACAGTATTGCTTGTCTTCACAATGTTTATTTTGCAGGTCAGGGTGTTCTTGCTGGATTCCCTGACTTGGTTCCATAAATACTCCAAAGGAAGCTTAGGTGTCTCATCTGTGACCAAGTGGAATCCATGCAGCATTTTTCAGACTAGCACTGGATGTAGTCTGGGCTTTTCTTAGAACACTGCCCAGGGCAAGAATTCAGAGAGTTCTTAGGTTCACCTTATGTACCTGCAAAAATGATCCCAGTAAGCATTCCCACCTTGTGGGTGTATCCCCGTGGTTGCTGCAGTCCCATCCTTAGCTTCAGCTGTGCATTCCTGCTCCTTCTCATTTTTCTGCTTCTGCCATTTGTTTGATCCTCCAGAACAGTCATCTACTTCAGAAATTAAGCTGACAAAACAATTTTCTTCTCTGGTTCATTCATTTCTTTCTGAAATGAATGGGTTGGTAAAAAGATTCACCAAGTGTCAGGAGGTCAGAAACTGAGACACCCTGGGTGCCAATATTGTCATTTGTCTAAAGTGACATTTCAGTGTGGTCTGCATTGATGATACAAGATGTTATGGTATGAATAAATCCCCTTTGTGCCCTGTGTATGTATCTAATCAATCAGCCTGCTTTGGCTCCTCTCTGCATCCCCTTTACATGAATGCCATGTGAAGGTTTTGCATTTGCAAACTTTATATTTGACAAGCACCAACGAACAGAACTTTTTGAGTCCTTCTGAGAACTTTAATGAAGAACAGCAGTTTCTGGTCCTTCTCTGCCTCTTTTATGATTTGCTGGTATTTTTTAAGGCTTAAAAGATGAATGTATGTACATTAAAGATTTTCAGCATCTGCTCTTTGCAAGGGGTTGGCCTTTAAAGGTCCCTTCCAGCCCAAAGCTGTCTGTGACTCTACAAGCTGAGGTTCTGGATATAAAACCTGCCCCCTTCAAGATACACATTACATATGATATCTCTGGGGAGGGCTGGCAGAAGTGCTCTTATTCTACTTGATTGTAGAATTCTGGTAGTCACTCAGAGAAGGTGACTGACATAGGCCTCTTATTTCAATATTCACAAATTACCTTGCTTTAAATCTGGTACCTTATGTGATACTGATTTTTGTATTTTCTTTCATTTATTCCTCATTTTATTAAGATTTAAAAAGATGTGACAGTAAAAACTCCTCCATATTTTTATCTTTGCTTTCTCAACAGTTGGATTTGCTAAAAATCAAGCAGTAATTCAGAGCTCAGGAACCTATCTCTGCTTTCTGGATTCAGTAAGTTAATGCTTTTTGTCTAACTTGGTTTTGTCAATATAATCCTTTCCTTTTTAATGGAGTTGCTGATTTGCTGTAAGACAACCTGCCTAAAGGAGTTTGTTTAACGTGCTGGTTGCTATTTATGGCTGTAAAGTTGTATTCCAACCTGTAGAAAGCCTTACATCATTCTTTGATAATATCAGATTTCACAAGCTGTTGTGAGCAGGGCTGGGCAAGGTTGGTATTTAGGTGTTTTGAGGATTTCTCTTTCCCACATTCTTCAGAAAATTGTATTGATGAGAAACTAAGAGCTAATCTACTGGCTTTTTGATGTAAAATAGGAGAAGTCTCACCTTGCAAGCTGAATTTTTTTTTTCCTGTCCTTTGTTGGATATCTTCTGTGAAGCCATTGAGCTCAGTACCCCCCAGATAAGGATCTCACTTGTGCAGCTGAATATGCAGGAATGGTTTCACAAAGGTGCCCAGCTGAGCACAGCAGAGGGGCCGTGTGCTGGGAGCAGGCAAGAGGAGCAGGACCTTCAGGGCTCACTGATCTCCTGTAATTTCACCTGAAGATGGATTTTTTATTTCCCTCTGAACCCTCAGTTCATTGGAACTGAACTATGGGTTAGGGTAGGACAGGATGAAGTGGCTGCTGGCAGGGTTGGTTTTCAGCTCCAATTCAACTGAATATTTTGGTTGGCTGTGCTTGTTAAAAAGTGGCTGTAGAGCTCCCATACCTGCTCTCACAACATCCTCAGCTTTAGTTAGGGAAATCCTTCAGTTTGCAAACCCCACCTGAGGCTGTTTGCCTATCTAAAATTAAAAAAGAAAAAACAAAACCCAGGGGAACTTATGATTTGCAAAGTTTGGGTATTCTAGGCTTGCATTACATTGCAAGGGCATTTTAGGGAGTCTGTAGGATGAGAAATGTGTGTGCTTGAGCTGGCTGAAGTTGTCTGAGGACATGAATGAGAAATTAATCTACTCTTGTCCCATGAAGCTTCATATCTTCTGTCTCAAGTATGTATAGCATGATGTACTGAAGTAAATTATGGGTTAGTCTTTCTTTTCAATCCAGACAGATGTAGTTGTTTGAAAATCACTAGCAGTAAACTAGAAAATCAAATTCTCTACATGAAGTTAATTCATATTTTCCTAGTGATTCTTCAGAATTCTCAATTTGTTATTTACCATATATTAAAATCTTCCTGCTGCTGTGTTGTTTCTGTTGGCTGACTATGCCAGGAAAACAAAACATCAGGGAATCAAATTACAGTTATTAAGGAATATAACTAGTAATGATGGTGTATTTCTGCAATATTGTCATTACCAGAAGTTTATATTTAATATTACCAAGAATTACTTGAAGTGAGTTGAGGATTTTATGGTTTACAGTGTGGATAAACTTAGGAGAAGTTAAAAAGATTTTCTGTTCTATGCATTTCTATTGCTTCTTCAAATCAGAGGCATTCTGGACTACCAGAAACCCAGTCTTGTTACAAAAGAAATATTAAATACCTGGCATAACTTAAATGTATTTTCTACTGTCTCCCCTTGTGACTACCATGTTTTGCTGAAAACAGATCAGACCAAATAAAATGGATGTTGAAACTGCTACAAGTCCAAAAACTGCTCAGTGTTTTGGCTGTAGTTAGTAAATGTTGTGTGATAGAAGCTGGGGCACAGATGTTGCCAGCTGTTTAACAACTCTGCTTCCACACACCACCTACCTTCTTCATTTCAGTCACCAGTCCAGGATCCAGCTCTCTAGGAAGGAATGTTGATATCAGCCTGTTGGAATGTGCTGCAGTAATGCCAAGGAATTGACCTTCAGGAGTGCAGCCACCGTTTCAGCTCTGCTACAGGTGGATGTGGGGAGGAATGGAGCTGTTTGTGCACATTACAAATAGCTGGAGAAATGCATCCCTGGCTTGTGGTGGATTCTTTGTTTTCTCTGTGAAGTGAAATGAGAGGATGAGCGTGTTTGGGAGCATCTTTGGAACTGCTGGCTCCAGCAAGGATGTTTGTGCTTGCCATTCCAGCTGGAGCCAAGCTGCTCGTGTCATGTCTCTCAACACAGATTTCTGAGGACAACAAACTGGGAAGAAATGTGGAAAAAAAAGGCTACAGGTCTCAGAAGTGTCAGAATTTGATCAGCCTTTTCTAGTATGAAGTGGCAGCTGTTGGACTAACAGCTATTGTGGAGTTTTTTTACTGTGGTTGTTGTCACAGATTTCACCTCCAAGCTACTAAGGCATTTTTTCCCCTCTGGGAAAACAAGTAGAAAAATTGAAGTTACTTAACAATTTTTTCACAATGTGGGAAAATGAGGGCTAATTTTGCAAATATATTTCACTGTTAGCTTTTCTTCTTCAAATTGTCTGCATTATGACTTTATCTGCCAGTTTCATTGTGCTGTAGCTGTAATTTATCACTTCTCTGGGGTGGTGCCATCTTTGTTAGAAGCATTTACCCCCTTGCAGCACAGCAGAACTCTTGCACTGAAAATTCTGCTTTGAACTGCTGTTTTCATTGACATGCACATAAACATGCCTCTACTTGTCTGAAACTGTATTTCTTTAAAAAAGGATCGTGCTTTCATTTCATCCTAATAATCTGTGGAGGTTTTATTTCAGGTTTATTCTGTGGAGTTTCCAGGTTTTATTTCAGGTTTATTCTATAGAGTTTCTAGGTTTTACTTCAGGTTTATTCAGTGTGTTGTTGGAGAGTTCCTTACTGTTAAAGAAGAAACATAAAAATGTGTCCTTTGTTGACCTGCAGTGTTTCAAACCCAGTCATAATCACTTGAGAACTTAACGTGCGTGTTTTAATCTTTTGAAAGGCTCTGTTGGCAATGTATCACAATTTCAGAGATTCTCAGGCAGTTCAAAAACATGACTTTAAACCATGTTCCCACAGTGTCACTGCTTGCTAATAGTCAAAAATGCCATGGGAACACAGGTAAGTGTTATTCACCAAAAATGAGGGTGGACCACAGCAGATTTCTCATTCCTGTGATGGAATTGGCAGCTGCTGACCTGTTCCTTTTGGTTTGGAAGATTTGTTTGCATGATTTAGATTGGGAATGGTAATTCTTAATTGCTGTGGGCATAATTGCTCAATTTCAAATTGCATGTGTTCCTTGAGGTTCAAGTTCAAGCCCACCTCGTTGAGGGGGTGTTGCTAAAGGCCTTGGAGGAAGGTGGTGGGACCTTCCCCAGCCAGGTGTGTCAGGCACACAAACAGATTGGCTTTTCCAGCCTCTGTAACTTCCTGGCTTTGGAAGCATGGATTTCCTCTTAGTTGCCATTACAGGCATTAATAAACTTCTGAACTATTCCTCCTCTCTTTCAAATTAGTCTGTATTTCTTAGGAAATGAAGATGTGATCAGAGGTCATGTATTTCCTTTCTGTTGTTGTTTCACATACTGGGAACTTATCCTCTGATTTAAAAACTGAAATAAGCTGTTACACAATTAGCAGGTGTGGATGTAGTGGTGAACTCCATTACCAGAAGAATTGTCCATCTTTCCTAATCACTAATGAGCCCCAAAAAGTCAAAATAGGAGTGCTCGAAGGCATCATTCCTATTATTGTTTTGTAAAGATGTATTAAAACCAGATTAAATGCCTCTGTCTGGTATGAAATGTTAAATGAAGAAGAAAACCTTCAGAATTTGGTTGCCATAACCTCTCCCTACATGTGTCTTCATCTATTCAGTAGTTAAAGAGGGCATTTGGAATCACTGGTGAAGTTTTACTCTTGTCTGGATTTATTGGCTTTGCTGTTGAACACCTTGTGAATTACCTGCTTCACTTGGCTGCAAACACATCATTTTTTTCAGTGATCTAACTATGAGAAAAAATCAAAGGTGATCTCCAGTGACCTCAGAAAAGCAAGATATGGAAAGGCATGTGTCTGCATTTGTTGAATAAATGCACTGAGTGGGAGCTGCTTCTACAGCAGAAGTTTCCTGACCAGCTAATAGTGATGCTTAATAAAAGATTCCATTAAAAAGATTGTCAGGCTCATAAGAGCACCACGTAGATCTTCCCATGTGGACCTGTTTGTTGCTTTGCTCAAAAAAAAGAAAGGTGCTCAACGCAGTCAGCTTCTTAAATTTGAAATGTTTTCTTTGTTGTCCCCTTTCTCAGTTTAATTTGGGAGTAGAAACACAAAAGTAGCATTTTTTCTGATGATTTTTTCTTGCAAGTACTGCCATGATCAGCCCCAGGTGATCTGTGGGTGCCATTGGAGTGCCTGGTTCCAGTGAGTCTGACAGTGTGGGGGTGTTCAAGCAGCAGCCCCTGCAGGATTGCCTGGGTTCAGGGCATTTCCTGCAGCAGGCATTTCCTGTTGACAGGCCACGATTTGGAGGTCCCAGGCATTTCACTTTCCTGCTTCAAGGAGTTGAACTGAACAATAGCAAGGAAAGATTTTCCCTCTGGTCTGAGCAGGTGCAGGATAAATGAATGGACCATTTGATGAATTGAAAGATTTTGGAGATGCCATATTGTTGCTCAGTGAGTGAAACATTCCTCCCGCTGCTGCTGCTGGTTGTATTTTGAATTTAATAGCTGTGATGGGAAGAAGGTGCTGTTCTTCTGGGAGTGGATCAGCTCTCAATCCTTTTTTATTTTTTTATTTTGAGCAGCCAAATATGAAGGAGTTTGGAAAAGCAGGAGATGCTGAGTCTGTAATGTGAGCCTAAGAAAGCACCTCAGTACTGACCTATAATATTTTGTTTTCTGTCAACTTGCCCTTGGTTGCAAGAAGTAGATGTGTATTGTGCATTGAATTGTATATTTTGTTTTACTTTCTCAAGTGCAGAAGCACCAAATTTTAAGGGAAGATGATGAAGTCACCACTGTGGAGCCCAATGTGCTCCACACAGCCTGGCTGAAGGGGCCAGCTTTTGTATTCCAAGTATATGATTAGGGAAGGCATGCACTTCTTTAGCATTTATTTTAAATTTCTTTTCTTTTGTCCATTCTTTTCATGTGAGAAATTTCTCTTCATCCTGTCAGCTGTATATCTACTAGGGGACAACCATTAGAGACTTCCATGTGAACAGAGAAAATTGGATTTTATTGTAAACTTCTCTTTTGTTAAAATTATTTTTCAATGGAAGTCACTTCTACTATTGTTATCTTCCCTAGTCTCACCTAGGAAACAGAAACAAACTAAATATACTTCCCTTTTTTGTATAGGCCCTTTTTTTTCTGTCTGAAATGAGCAAAAAATAATTTGGAAAGTGTTTGCCTGATTACTGAGGTTTTATTCTCAGTGTTAAACCAAAAAAAAAAAAAAAGATGACCAAACTCTGCCTGTAGAAACCAAAGTCTGGCAATACATGTGCTGAATTTAATATCAGAAGTGCAACAGCTTTGATAGAAAATTTGTGATTCATTGTGTACTCTTGGGTAAAATATTTTACCATCTTAGTTGTTTAATACTATAGCTGCTAAAATTCCATAATTCTTTTTAAGGTGCTCTTACTTCGTGGTACAGTCACTTTGGTTTTACTCATTCAAATTTATTTAGGTTTTTAAATACCAGTCTTAAATCCATCTGAGTTCCCTAGGATGGTTTCATGATAAATACATTTATAAATGCATGCTTACCTTTCCAGTCACCCATAGTGAGGAATCTGTCAAAATTGGATTTTGCAGTTACTTTTCTGGTACCAACCTGAATCCAAAAAAGCTGAATGATGGTTGAATCTCATTTCTGTCTTAGGTGTGATTTATATTTTGTGCTCATTATTATAGTATTATTATATTACTCATTAGTATTATATATCATATTAGTATATAGTATATATACTAATATATATATATATACACTATATATTATATATAGTATATATATATAATATTATATATAGTATATATTATATATAGTATATATAATATTAGTATATAGTATTATTATATTACTCACTATTATAGCATTTGGGATTATGCCCTAAACTATTATATTTATGATATATAGTATTATTTATTAGTAGTAGTATTATATAGTATTATATATACTATTAGTATATGCTATATATAGTATTGTTAATTACTCATTATTATAGTATTTGGGATTATGCCCTAAACTATTATATTTATTGTATATAGTATTATTTATTAGTAGTAGTATTATATAGTATTATATATACTATTAGTATATGCTATATATAGTATTGTTAGTTACTCATTATTATAGTATTTGGGATTATGCCCTAAACTATTATATTTATTATATGTAGTATTATTTATTATTAGTAGTATTATATAGTATTATATATACTATTAGTATATGCTATATATAGTATTGTTAGTTACTCATTATTATAGTATTTGGGATTATGCCCTAAACTATTATATTCTTTATTTCCCCCATCTTTCTTTCTCCTTCCATGAACTCAGAAGGTCTCCCAGAACCATCCAGCAGTGCAGTGTGTGTGTAAAGCTGCTAATAAAAAAATCAGACAGAATTATTAAAAGAAATACAGGTCATACAGGGTAAGAGTTCACAGAGTTTTCTGGCATTAGAGAACAAAGCTGTATTAATAAAAAGAGGCATTTAGAAGTTTTTGTGGTTATAGTGCCCCCTCTTTAGCTGGAGTTTACAGAACTCTGATGCTCTCTGATAGCCTAAGCCCCAGATCTGTGAGTTTTGCCAACAGCATCAAACTGACCCCGTGTTTTCTGAGGGGAATGGGGCCATTCCTGTCAAACTGGGTGGTTCTGAAAACATGACATCGACCTCTGTGGTGCATAGGTTATTTTGATTTGGTTTGAATGCTTTCCATGCTGATTTAACCTTTTTAAATCAAGTATATTATTTTTCATCCTTCTGAATGTGAGAGTTCTCTCTCTTGTGTGGGATCACGAACAGTGAGATCTTTTAGCACAAGAGCAAATGTTGTAGCTTTTAAAAAATTAGGGTAACATTGTTCTGAGCATCGAAATTCCTGCCTTTTTGGTGGATTTCCCCTTTTTTTTGCCTTTTTCCCCCATTTTTTTCCCTTCCCTATTTTTCTCATTTTCCCTTTTTTTCCCTTTTTTCCCCTTTTCTCCCTTTTTTTCCCCTTCCTTTGGATTTACCAAGAAAACATCTAAGGATCCTTAGCAACTTGTAAAGGAGTAAACACAGTTCAGTTAAAATATATCTGCTATTGCTTGTATGAAAACCAGATTTTAATTCACAAAAATCAGCTCTTATTTGGCATAAAGAAATAGGATTATGATTTTTCTTGTGGGAAATAGGGTAAAGGTTTTATGGGAACACTTGCTTGAACTGGAATTCTGGTGCTCTATGGATAAAAGTGGATGAGGTGGTAAATAATATTATTGTAGTTTTGAAGTCATGGGAAATCAGAAGGGTTTTTTGCTCTATTGGCTTTGAAAATCAGGAACAGCTGTCGTGTTTATTACTAAACATATCCTAAATGCAAAATACAGAAAAATGCTTTTGACAGCTTAGTCCTCCCATCTTTTATGAACTTATGTGTGATAAGAGTCAGTTTTATTATTATTTAGTTTTATCTTTAACCTTGAATTGTATTAAATAGTTGGATCTACTTCTGAAACTTTTTTTATCATACATGTTTTGATAAAACTGTAGGGGCACCTTTATAGTGAGGTCATTCAACTCTTCAAGCTGTAGATATTTAAACACTATTTTCTTTTTGTTGCTGTTGACTTGATGGGAAGTTTTAATGTGAAAGTGGTTGGAAATTCAATATTGAGGGTTTGTGCTCTAATAGGAAAACCAGAATGATTTCAGTGTGAGGAACTGTTAAAAGGGTGTCTGTAGAACAGGAATTCAGGGCTCCTTTGAATTATGTTTGCCTGATTAAGTTTATTTGGAAATACTCTGAGAAGAAATAGGCTGTGTTAGCTTTAACAAGGATCTAAAAAAGGCTGATTCTTTAAAAGGGGAGAAGTATGGCACCAACATGGAAAAGAATATAGGTAGAAACCTCAGGGGCCTAAAAAATTTAGGGAAGAAAAATTATGCTATAGTTTCTATAAACTGTAGAATCACTGTCTAGAAAAGATTTAATTTTGGACAGGAAATAATAAAAGTTTGAAAGGAATCTCTCCTAACAGTTCAAGGCAGGATAGCCTTGTTACTGACTTTTCACAAAACAACCTGTCCTTTTGTGTGTAAATAGAGCAGATCTTTATGCTGCAAGTGGAAGAAGTACTGACACAAAATTTAAATCCAGTGTCTATGCTAATGCAGTCTATGAGTGTGGGTACTTCCCTTTTTTCCTTTTCCTTAGAATTTTCTCATTTCACAAGTACTAGTTTTTTATGAAATATGACATCTTTTTAGATTAGAGACCAAAGGCTTTTCATTTTCAGTGGAACAAGGCACCGCCAGATTGCAGAGAACATTTCCTCACATTGCTACTTTAACTGAGGGTAGTTCCTTGTCCTCACACTGCCAGTGCTGCTGGGGGAGTTGGGAAGGAGTTGGAGAGTTTCTTGAGAAATAAATGTGCAATGTGTGGGTGCTGTGGATGTGTGTTGAGATCACAGCACCATTGTCATGGAGTAGTTTTGATCACTTCCAGCTCCAGCAGCATCCAGTTCAATCCACAAAAAGTGTGAAGTCTCTTCATATCTGTTCCATTTGCATTTCTGACTGCCAGCCAGTAAAATGATGTTCATTTAGCAACATATTCTAGTGTGTGTCAGTAGTGTTCTGTGACCCTTTTTATGTTCACTAACAGTGTGCTATTTATTCCAGGATGATGTGATGATGCCACAGCGGGTTAGGCTGCAGCACCAAGTTGCCATTCAACACCCAAACAGTGTGAGTACTTTTTTCTTGTGTGTATTTCTGGGTTTTTCTTTGACAGAGTTCCGGATACATCTTTAAAAGGATATGAAAATTTCACAGTGGGGCTGGGGGAGGCAAAGCAATAACCAGTGTATTCTTTTCCTTTATTTTTAATCCTTGCACTGAATGGGAGCTTTGATTGAACTTCTTTTCTTCCTTTTATTTTCTCTCTTCAGAAAACCAGATCTCATTACAACAGTGATAGTCTTTTGCAAATAAGTATATAGGTTTGGCTAATGTCTGTAATCTAAAGGAGAATGCCTTTTTTATGTAGCCTTTCCAAGTCATGTGAAAAGCTGCAAAGGATTGGCTACAGCTATGGTTTATCTGCTTTTAATAATTAAGGAGCTGTAAACCATAGGGGTTGTATGGGTTGTTACCAGTGATCAACTGGCCTAAAGTTCAGCTGAAGATTCTCTCTCTGTCTGCCTGTAAAATGAAACATTATTAGAATTCCATTCTTTATTCCTGTGAAATAAACTGTCAGAAATATTCTATGAGAGAGTTTTTCTCTGATCGATATGATTTTGGTTTTGTATGATTTTCTTTGGTTAGGATCAATGTTCATCCGAGAGAGTTTGTGCATATGTTCTACTTATCCAAAGATTATATATATATATATTATATATATATACTTGTTGTGCATATATATGTATATATATACTTGTTATGGCAGTCAATACTACTGACAAAGATACTCCTTTATAAACTTGAAAACTGAGTTTGTTTTTATCAGCAGAATCAGCCTTATTGTTTCCACATTTCTGACATTTTCTCTTGTGATACTTCAATGTGCCAGAGGTTTCTGGAAAGGAAAGGTTGATTGACTTGGTCTGCCATGAAGGTGTTTCCTGCAGGTATCTGAACAAAACACACAGTTTTGGGATTATTGCTCTCTGTCAGCTAAACACCTTTTGAACTTTTTGAACTCCAAAAGACACTTTTTTTGGCTGAGGGATGTCTGCCAAACAACCTGCTGCTTAGCAGTGGGATGTGTACCTGCTCATCACACCACCTGCATTAGGGTTCCTCTGAAATCTGATCCCTTGCAATGGGATTTATTAAATTGTAGCTTTAATAGTACCTGAGTAGCAGTTAACCTAACTCACATTACAAACACAATAAAATGATAAATCCAAAGTTGTTTTTGTTCTGATATCCATCAGTTAATGTAATTCTGCAGTCAGATGCCAAAAAACCAGAAAGGCAAGTTAATCCAGTATGCTTGTTTTATGGAAATTAGTGCTAAGAGCTATCATATTTCTTGCTTATATGGCTTCTATAGATGTAAATTAAAACTTTTAAAATTAGACTAAATTCAACTAAACAGTTTGTAGTCTTTTTTAGGAAGTATTTCAACGTTTTCTTTATATTCTGTTATACTTTAGTGCCCAACAACCCTCAGTACGAGCTGTTAAATGACAATAAACAAGTAATAAAGAGGACCTGAGTAGACAGAAGAGTCTTTATGATCTCTTCCAAGCAACACAAACCTGTTTCTGCCATGTTCCAAACTCAGGTGAATTTATGGTCCTGTTTCAGTCTGGTATTTGTGGTGGCCCTGCCTTGGCTGGGTTCTGTCACTCCTCAGGAGGATGGGGTGGAGGGAGACAGAGAAGGTGGAAAAAACCTGTGGGTCAAGATAAGGTAATTTATTTTTTATTAAAAGCAAAAGGAGCAGTCCTTTGGTCAGTTTGGATCTGACTGCCTTGCCCACCCTCAGCCTTGTGGAGAGGGAAAATGTTGGAAAGAGCCTTGGGAGCAGGGCTCAGAGCCCTGGTGTGTTACCAGCACACAGCACTGGGAGGGCTGGCAAGGCAGAATTAACTCTATTTCCACCAAAGCCAGCACATTTTCCATGTTACAGGTACAGAAAATGGGTGGGATGCCTGGGTGAGGTGTAACCTGCTGGGTTAATGTTGGATTTTACAGAATTCTAATTCAAAGGTCTGAAGGAGAAAGGGGAACACATCCAGCTGGTTCTGGTGAGCAAATAGATCAGATTGGTCCAGAGCCCCTCAACAGTTCTGACACAGCTTTGGGAAAAGTTGGCCTGGTCACAAATCTACTGACCAGTGGCAGCGTGGACTTGTGTTCTTAAAAGAATGATCTCTGTGCTGTCCTCAGAATAATCATGCCATTCAATTTGCTGGCCTTGGAAGATATTTGGGATGTTTGAAGGAAGTTTTGTTCTGTGTTTGAAGTTCTGGCTTGGCTTCAATCAGTCTGATAAACCAGAGTAGGTGGAGGGGAAAAAAAAAAAAAATAAAACAAAAAGCAGAAGGTTGAGAAATGCCTGTGAAGCAGTGAGCTTTTTTGGTTTGTTCCTGAAATTCTGATTTGCAGAATTTGCACTTTCCACTGTTTTGCAACTTCTCCTGACCTGGATTTTTGACTTTATGCAGTCTCAATATACTTTCAGAAATTTTATTCCTAATCCTGGTCCTGCTGATTGTTACTGGGAGTCAGATTTGAAGACCAGTGCTCCCAGTGGGCCTTGATATTGTAGGCTTCAGTCTGCTGTTGTTGTTACTGTTCATCTGCAGGTGGGAAAATCTCCAACTTTGCCCACCAAGAGAAATCTCCCAGGTCCTAATTAATCCCTGAGGTTCTTCCTCTTTTTGTTGTGTTACTCTTAAATGCAAATTGCCTTACTCTGATTTGAAGCCTGGTTACTAAACAGAAGAACCAAAGATATCAGATGCCTCTGGGATCTTCCCAACAAATTATTCTTTAAAGAAACCTGTGTCTCCATCTCTGCAAAAGCAAGAAGCTTGCCCCAGGTTCAGGTACTGGAACACTGAGGTAACAGCAGCAGCCCTTGTGTCTCATTTCCTGCATCACAGACTCCTTAATTGTGCTTTAAAGACCAAGTTAATTTCTGTTCTCTTAAGTTGCTCTTATCTGGACACTTTTTAAAAATAAGGCTTGAGGGTGGAACTGTTCTGACCTTGGAAATGTTCAGAGTGGAGGATTTTGGATCTCAAAATACAAATCACTAATGCATTGTGCTTTTTGTTAAAGCACAACTGCTGTCACCTTGTCCTCTGATGACTATTTTACATCATCTCCAAGTCCCCCTCACATGGATTCTGTAATTAGACACTCTCAGAAGACACAAGTTTTTGAGACTCTGTGTATTTATACTACAAATTCTTAATTTACATAAATTTATAAATAATTTATACTATAAATGAATTTATACTACAAATTCCTAAGTTCTGCTCAAGAAATATCAGGCTCAGTGCAAATCCCTACTTTTAGCAGTTGTGAAGCTCAGGAACATCATTCTGGTTTTATTTATCCCTAGAAACTGCATCAGTCCCATTTATCCAGGATAAGCCAGGTGTTGCTGATTTACCAACCACAAAACATGTATGCTTTGTTGGCAGCTAATTAATAGGAAGATTCAAGCTTCCATTTCCCTTAATTCTGAAAAAATCATGCCTTCATATCTTATTCTGTGTTCTTCTGCAGCTCCACCCTGCTGTATGTACTGGTGTTCTACAGAACAACTTCCTAAGTTTGGAGTAGCCCAGGAAATTATTTCCCAAACCACACACACTCAATAAATGCCTCACATTTATTCCATGTTATTTAATTTCAACCCTCTGAGAAGTCACAAAGATTTTTGTTTCAAGGAGAGAGGGGATGTCAGTTGGATCTGCTCTCTGCTTGTCTTGGTGCTGGATGCTTCCAGCAGGCCCTGCTCTGGGCATGCTGAAGGAGACTCACTGGACCTGGGAATGATCTTGAAGACACTGAGTAACATTTGAGAACTTATAAAATAACTAAACTTTTCCTCACTGTCTCCTACCTCAGTGAGAAAACGGCTGGAGTGAGAATATGGGCAATAGAAATAAAGAACATTTCCTTTTGTTTTCTCTGGCTCAGTGGGAGGTGAATCAGTGGCAGTGTCACCACAACACCTTTCTATTTGTTGTGAAATTACAATCCTCTGTCTCAAACAGGTAGGATACCTGGGAGTGTGAGAGAACATGAATATGCATTTGCATTTATTCAATGAGCAATTCTCACTATTTTGCATCTCTAAAGCAGATTTTTGGCATATTCTGTAGCTTGGCTTTAGATCAGGAGCAGCAGTGCCTAAAGCCATTTTTATCTGTTGATTATCTGCCTGTGTTCACCAACTGCCTGAATTCTGCATATCTTTGATGGTTAATGTGGCTCTAAGATAGTGGATGGGATTGAGTGAGTTGAACAATTCCTGGCTGGCCCTGGGAGCTGGTGGCTCACAGACCTGTTCACCTGCCCTGGGAGAGCTGAACCAAATATTGCACAATGGGCCAAGGAATTGGAGAAAGCAGCAAATGAGTGAGAGCTGAGCTGCTCCTTTCTTTAGGGCACAGCTCTAGGCCAAAGGCATTGGCTGCTTCCCTCCCACCCCTGAACTCCACAAATTAACTACATTTAGAAGTTAAGAGGATTTTTTTTTTCCTTTTGGTCTGGAAACATATATTTTTCAATTCTGACAGTCATAATTTAATAGATTTTTTTCATGTCACTGTACCCTGTGCTGTTCTGCTTGTTGGGACCTGTCACACCTTTGTGCCATGTGTTAGATAGCAAGGCTGTTTTTTCCTTCCTCCCTCCCTTGGAGAGTGCTCTGCTTACAGAGAGCACTAGTTTGAGTCATATGATTCTTTTCTTGTGGCTAAAATGATCAGATCCACTTGATTCTGTAAGTTTGTGGTGTGAAAAGACAATGAGTGTCTGTGAGGTTTGATTAAACTGCCATAAAGCAAAGCTACATAATGCTGCATGTTACCTCTCTGTGCTCCATTTCAGTTCAGTTCTGGATCTCTATTTAATTTGCATCCTTCCTGTGTTCAGCGAGGTTGTTGGTGATCTCTCATTCTGTGTCTTTAATTCTGAAGTCCAGATTTTCCCATCTCCCCTTAAATTCTTTGTCCTTCAGTTGTGGCATATAGCTTAGCAGATTTTCCTTTGAT